ACATTCGGGTACTTTCTTCTGAGCTTTGCCTAGGATTTGCTTGCCAAGTCTGTCTGTAATAGAGAAACCTAACTCACCCCAGTATTTATTTATTTGAAAGTGAGAGTTACACAGAGAGAGGAGAGAGAGAGAAAGAGAGAGAGAGAGAGAGAGGGAGGGAGAGAGATCTTCCATCTGCTGGTTTACTCCCCAAATGGCTGCAACAGCCAGAGCTGCACCAATCCGAAGCCGGGAGCCAGGAACTTCCTCTGGGTCTTTCCATGTGGCTGCAGGGGCCCAAAGACTCGAATTATCTTCTACTGCTTTCTCAGACCATAGCAGAGAGCTGGATTGAAAGTGGAGCAGCCGGGACTTTAACTGATGCCCGTATGGGATGGCAGCACTGCAGGTAGGTGACTTTATCTGCTATACCACAATGCCACAGGGCCCCAAAATCCTTTGTATTTCTTAGAGCCACAAAAACACCAAAGCATCAATTTGAGAACACTTCCAATAGTAAATAGTGTTATCAGTTTAAGCTCTGTGATATTCTGGTAGGCTTATCACTCAACTGCTGTCACCCCAATATTGCCAGTAGCAAGGCTGAATTCCTGAGTTGGGCCTTCTTTCATTGTTTCTGAGTTTATTCTAGCAAACTAGAAAGCTTTCTTTACATTAGGACAACATGAGAAGAATGGTCATCATATACAGCATTTGAGTACGGAAGAAGATGGTCTACGTTATTTACTGAAATGATCAGCCGGGCCCAAGGTCGGGGAATATTGGTTCACACCACACTCTTGGGGCCACCTCTGGCTCTCAGCTGCACCTGCTGAGTCACTTGACTGAGGACTCATCTCGCTGTCCTGTTCTGTCGCCATTGTCCACACGCCATCATCCACAACGCTGGAGTCAAGGCACTTCCCTGCTTTGCACAGGGGCAAGTGCATTCCTGCGTCATGTACAGGTGCACACGGCCCTTGCACCTCTTCCTGCCCCCCAAACGCAGGAACTGGCTTGGATGTTTGTTGCTTAGGCTCCTGCTGGAAGCGCCTCTCAACCTCTTCTTTTTTTTAAGATTTATTTATTTGAAAGGCAGAATTACAGAGATACAGAGGCAGAGAGATAGCGAGGTGTTCCATCCACTGGTTCACTCCCCAGATGGTCGCAATGACCGGAGCTGCACCAATCCAAAGCCAGGAGCCAGGAGCTTCTTCCGGGTCTCCCATGCAGGTACAGAGGCCCAAGGACTTGGGCCATCTCCTACTGCTTCCCCAGGCCACAGCAGAGAGCTGGATCGGAAGTGGAGCGGCCCTTGAACCGGCGCCCATATGGGAGGCTGGCACTGCAGGCAGCGGCTTTACCAGCTATGCCACAGCACCGGCCCCATCCACTTCTCCAATTATTCATTCAGAAAATATTTACTGAAGAATTCTATGTGCCAGCCGCAGTGATAGGTGCTGGGGTGGGGGGAGGGGGGGAACAAACCAATCACACCCTTAGCTCCAAAGAGCCCACAATCTCCTGTCAAAGATAAACCTTCTTCAGAGAACCACACGATCAGATATAGTTCCTCTAAGTGCTTTTTAGCTTTTATTTTGAAGCAATTTTGACTCACATAAAAGACCACAGAGTCCCTGCGTGCCCTGGACTCAGCTTCCTCCAATGAGAACATCCTACATAATCATGGCACAGGTCTCCAAGCCAAGAAATATGCATGGCTACAACGTCGTCAACGAAACTTGCAGGCCTTTTGAATCAACACTGACCTGTCTCTACGTGCTTTTTAACCCTTGAATCATTATGACAACCATTGGGAGTATATGTGCCATCATTCCCATTTTATAGACGCAGAAACTGAGACCAGAACAGTTATTCACCTTGTTCAAGATTCCATTTGCAGCAGCAGCGTGAGGGTTGCAGATCCAGGCAGGCAGCTGCCAGGGACTTGCTCCTCACCACTGCATTATTCTGCCTCTTCCCAGGAGCCTAGCTGATCGCGGCAGGCCTTCTTGTCCCAACCCAAGGAACCAACTACAGCCGTGCAATGAACCAAATCTTTTGCTTGCAAAATCCAAGTTTGTTTCAATGACAAAAGCTTCCCAAAGGGCATGCCTCTGTCATTCCCGCACAGGAAACAATGTTCTTGGGGCTAACAAAGGCCTGGCTTTCAAACACTTCCCTCCCTCCCTCCCTTCCTTCCACTTCCAAAATGACTTCAGCTAAAATATTTTGACCCTCAAAAGGAAGTTCCTTTGTAAGACACTGCAAGAAATGCAGGTGCAGTTATGACCCAGCCAGAGCACACACGGTTTCCTCTCCAACTCACCCACTCTTTCCCCACCCCAGCTCCCATGGGACGGAGAAGGCGGTACCTCCCCAAAATCTGCTGTCCTGGCATAGTCGCTGTTTGGCACTAAAGGAACTTGGAAGACAGCAGGGCCAAAAGGTCCTCAGAACTTCCTTCTGCTTCTCTCTCTATCTCTTTTTTAATTTTATTTATCTATTTGAAAGGTAGAGTTACAGAGAGAGAGAGAGAGAGAGAGGTCTTCCATCCACTGGTTCACTCCCCACAACGGCTGGAGCTGCACTGATCCGAAGTCAGGAGCCAGGAGCTTCTTCCAGGCCTCCCATGCGTTACTGGGGCCGACTTCCACTGCTTTCCCAAGTCATAATCAGGGAGCTGGAATGGAAGAGGAGCAGCCGGGACACCAACTGGGGCCCATATGGGATGCCAGAGCCGTAGGCAGAGGCTTGGCCTACTATGCCCCACGGCACCAGCCCCTCTTTTTCTTTTTTCTTTCTTTCTTTATTTGAAAGGCAGAGTTACAAAGAGTCTGAGGCAGAGAGAGAGAGAGAGAGAGAGAGAGAGAGGTCTTTCATTCACTGGTTCACTCCTCAAATGACTGTAACAGCCAGATCTGGGCTGATCCGAAGCCAGGAGCTTCTTCTGGGTCTCCCATTCAGATGCAGGAACCCAAGGACTTGGGCCATCTACTGATTTCCCAGGCCATAGCAGAGAGCTGGATTGGAAGTGGAGCAGCCAGGACTCGAACTGGCACCCATATAGGATGCCGGCGCTGCTTGCCGGGGCTTCAGCCCACTGAACCGCAGCGCTGGCCCCATAAATAACACTTTCAAGAAATGGTCAACTCCGACTGTCCCTTGGGCTTTTCACTTCCCAGGCAGCTCCCGAGCCATGTAAAATCCGTGTTAAATAAGCGTGCGCCCTTTTCTCCTGTTCCTCTGTCTTACGTCAATTTAATTCTCGGCAGGAAAAACCTTAAGTGGGCAGCAATAAAATTCTGTCTCCCCTGCAGCATCCAATTCTTAGTCAAATGAAATCTAAAATAGGTGCCCATCGGTGGCCTGATGTTGGGAAACAGAGAAATAGGGGAAAACAGGAACAAGGGGAAAAAAGCCTTCTTGCTGGATGACGCCCCTGAGGCATTTCTATTTGTTAGGAAAACGCAGAAGTGGCTTCAGTGACCACAGAGCCCACTCCTTCCTCCTCCGCGGCCGAGAGGTCGCTGGGCCAAGCCCATCCGGAAGCCAGCTCCATGACTACAGCGGGAACTCCCTCTCTCCAGGTGCTGCCACGAGCAGCAGCATCGGAGGCTTTCCCTTGCCTTGTAACCTGGGCTGCTCCTCCCCGTGCTCATTCGCCTCTGGTTTTCTGATTTTGCGATGGCTTACCTTTGGGGTTCTGCAGGGCAGAAAGCAAAAGAGCAGCAAGTCGACGCCTCTTGTGCCACCTGTGGCTGGGTCAGGAAGCACACAGGGAATGCAGTGTGTTGGGAGGGAAGAGGGAAGGAGTAGCAGCACGGGGAGCAGAGGCCCCTGCCTGCGTGGGGGAGCCGGGCACCCCTTCCTGGCCAGATCTGGAGGAACGGGGCTGTCGCGGACCAGCAACGACTGAGGGAATGAAAGGGCAGAGTAAGGGGCGCTGGGAGAATTACAAGAAGCACAAAGTAGAGAGAAGAAAAGCTCAGGCCAGGGGACTCTGCAGGACGACGCAAGACAGCCCTGACAGGCACCGGATTTCCATTTTTACTAGAGCAAGTGCACGCTTTGACCATTAACCGTGTTCTTTTTTTTTTTTTTTTTTAAATCTTTTTTTTTTTTTTGACAGGCAGAGTGGACAGTGAGAGAGAGAGAGACAGAGAGAGAAAGGTCTTCCTTTTGCCGTTGGTTCACCCTCCAATGGCCGCCGCTGCAGCCGGCGCACCGCGCTGATCCGATGACAGGAGCCAGGAGCCAGGTGCTTTTCCTGGTCTCCCATGGGGTGCAGGGCCCAAGCACCTGGGCCATCCTCCACTGCACTCCCTGGCCATAGCAGAGAGCTGGCCTGGAAGAGGGGCAACCGGGACAGAATCCGGCGCCCCAACCGGGACTAGAACCCGGTGTGCCGGCGCCGCAAGGTGGAGGATTAGCCTATTGAGCCACGGCGCCGGCCCAACCGTGTTCTTTTACAAATACAATGAAGATTCTGTGATCTCACTGTGTTAGTTACCCATTTACCCATCGCCATAATCGGTTTGTCACAGTACATGATCTCAACATGAACATTTCTATAAATCTGTTTTTTTGTTGTTTTGTTTTGTTTTGTTTTTATTTTGACAGGCAGAGTGGACAGTGAGAGAGAGAGAGAGACAGAGAGAAAGGTCTTCCTTTGCCGTTGGTTCACCCTCCAATGGCCGCCGCACCGCGCTGATCCGAAGCCAGAAGCCAGGTGCTTCTCCTGGTCTCCCATGGGGTGCAGGGCCCAAGGACTTGGGCCATCCTCCACTGCACTCCCGGGCCACAGCAGAGAGCTGGCCTGGAAGAGGGGCAACCGGGACCGAATCCGGTGCCCCGACCGGAACTAGAACCCAGGGTGCCGGCACCGCAGGCTGAGGATTAGCCTATTGAGCCGTGGCGCCAGCCTAACATTTCTATAAATCTTAAAAAAGAACAAAGTTACTTGACATCAACCACGTGAAGCAAGGGGCGCCATGCGGCCTTGTGACGGGCACGCGACCATGTCCAACGTCATGCATGGGAACGGGGAAAGCAACATGCTTTGGCACGTCCGGTGTTCTGTGACCTGCTTGCAGGGGTCGAGCAGAGGGCAGCCCTATACCTTCAAGATGGCTGCACGTAGGCTCTCTGGTAGAAAACCCCACACGGCGGGTTGTGGTGCACCGAAGGACACTGAGCCCCAGATACCAAAGGCTTCAAATCTGCCAAGAGTCGCTTGCCCCACACGTGGCACCAACACATCCAGGAGCCCAAAGGGACTGTGCAACCTGACTCCCAGGGTCCCGTAGTGACCACTGAGTGGGGGGCCTGGCACAGTGTCACACATGAGGACCTGGTGCTTCAGGCTGTAGGAACTTCGTACAACCCGGGGCAGTTGGAGTACCGTGGGAGACCACACCCCCTGAAACGTAACTTCCTGCCTATGTAACAAGTGGGATAAACCCAAGGTAACTTGGGGAGCACAGAGGAAAGTTCTGTTTTTGAACATCTGAGCTGGTGGCCCCACATTCCCACCAAGCCTACCTTCATCCACACGCTCATTTAACCAAGAGTAGCCGGCACCGTGGCATAGCGAGTTAAGCTGTCAATTACAACTAGGAGTAACAGCTCGCACCGCGTGCCCCTCACTGAGATGGTACTGCAGACACTGAAGATGCGGGAGTCCCCAGAGATGGGCTTCCTGGCCCAAGAAAGCCCAGTCCCAGCGGCAGACAAGCCGGCCTGCTCACACGCTCTGCCACGCCAGACCCAGGTCCAAGCTGATGCCGGCAGAGAGGCCCTCGCCTCTCCCCACCCAGCGCGCTCCGCTGGTCCCGAGAATTCAACACTCAGCAGGTGAAAAGCACAAAGCCCTGTTTCATACAAGTCCCTGCAGTGCCGAAGTCGTCACCAGGAACTGAAGTCCCAAAGAGGTGAAGCAGAACACTCGCTCGCGGACTTGGACAGCAGGGAACCACGAAGTGAGCGGAAGAGTGACGGGGAAGGGAAGCCCACCTTGTGTGTAGAGATCGCTTCAGCCTCAGCTTCCGGTTCTTGGCGACAAGGGGGTGACTTGCTTCCGGCAGAGAAAAAGCATTCTTAACCCTGGAATTTCATCTCCTGCTTTAAGAAACTGGACTCACCTTGCACCTGCTGTCTTCCAAGTTCCTTTAACTACAACTTGTCAGTGTGCCATTTGGAGTGGCACATTTATTATTATTATTATCATTATTTATTTGTTTGTTTATTTGAAAACTAAAGAGAGAGAGAGAATGCTTCTATCCACTGGTACACTCCTCAGATGGCCAAAACAGCCAAGGCTGGGCCAGCCCAGAGGTAGGAACTCCATCTGGATCTCCCACATGGGTGGCAGGGGCCCAAATCCATGAGCCCTCCTCTGTTGCTTTCCCAGGAGCATTAGCAGGGAGCCAAATCGGAAGTGGAGAAGCCGGGACTGGAGCAGGCATTGTAAGTGACAGCTTAACCTGCTCTGCCACACGCCAGCCCCTGGGCTGTCACGTACTTAACCCCTTCAGTATGACATTTCAAAAGTATGCCTTTGGAAAGAAAGTAATCCTGCATGAAGGTGCTGGTTCACTGTCGCTCCCCCATTCGCGGAGGAACAACACTGGACCCTGCGCTGTTCTTTTGTCTGCTCGGCCCTTCCCGGGTTTGCTGCTGGTCCTTCCTGGGTTGGCTGTCGACCCCTCCACCTCCGTGGAGGGGCGGCTCCCCCTGCCACTTTCCCGGCTTCCGCGGAGGAGCGGCATACCGCCAGCCGGCTCTCTCTTGGGGGGGGGGGGCTGCTCAGGTGTTCCTTCAGATAGATGTTCCCTCAGATGTTCCTGGTGCATGTTGTCTCTCTCCTCCTTTATAGTCCTCTTCCACCAATCCCAACTCTGCTACCCACACGCCGAGCACGCTGCTCTCCTCCAATCAGGAGCAGGATTAGCTCCTGCAGCTTATCAGTCAAATTGGCGAGAGGCAGCTGCGTAGAGGTTGTTTGGTCTCTCTCTCAGCGCCATATTGTGGGAGAGCAGATGCATAGAATAAGTCTTAATTCCAGTAACTTAGTCTAGTCTCAGTTGCTCCCCACAGTTCACCTCTGTGTCACTCACAATAGCAAGCCCTGGAAACACCAAAAATATATTCATGAAGTATATTACAATATAGCTGCCCACAGGAACAAGACATGGCAGAAAGGGTGTCTCACTTGTTACTTTTAGAATGAAAAACAAGGCACGAAAGAAAAATACTTCAGAAGAACATTTGATAACAGGGAAAGGCATGACAAATATTTTGTTACAAATCATATGTGTGGGGCTGCCACTGTGGCAGCAAGTTAAGCCACCGTTTGTAGTGCCGGAATTCCATATGGGCACTGGTTCTAGTCCCGGCTGCTCCACTTCCAACCCAACTCCCTGGTAATGCACCTGGGAAAGCAGTAGGAGATGGCCCAAGTACATGGGACCCTGCTACCCACGTGGGAGACCTGGAAGAAGCTCCTGGCTCCAGGCTTCAAATGGGCCCAGCTCCAGCCATTGCAACCATTTGGGGAGTGAACCAGCACATGGAAGATCTTGCTCTATCTGTCTCTCTGTAACCCTGCCTTTCATATTAATAAGTAAGTCTTTTTTAAAAAATAAAAAATACATAGGTATATTGTGTACCTGCGATGCAGGAGGATACACACACACACACACACACATATATACATATATATATATATATATAAACATGGGGTGGGCGTTGTTGTGGTACACTGCCTGTTGGAACACCAAATCTCACATCAGAGTGCCAGACAGAGTCCCAGCTACTCTGTTTCCAATCCAGCGTCCTGCTAATGTGCCTGGGAAGGCAGTGGATGTAGCCCAAGTATTTGGGTCCCTGCCATCCATGTGGGAGAGCTAGATAGAGTTCCTGGCTTCAACCTGGCCCAGCTCCAGCTGTTGTGGGCATTTGGAGAATGAAGATAAGGTCCTTCTCTCTCTCTCTGTCTCTCTCTCTCTCTTGCTCTCGCCCTGCCTTTCAAGTAAATAAATGAATAATTTTTTTTAAACCGGTGTGAGTAGTTCCTTCCATCAGAGTTGCATTGTGGCTTTTACTTTGCCCTTAGGTGGTCCCTCCTCCTTGGGAAGGAAATGTAGGAAATTATGTTTTATAACTGCACTGGTATAAAGATGGCTACCATCCAGGCTGTGTGCGTCATTATTAGATTCTGCCTGTCAAAGAAGTGGATGTGCTGTGGGCCCTGGGCGCTGGGCGGGCTGCGCCTCTGCCTCTTGGGTGACTGCTGAGTGCGGGGATGACCTGCCCGTATTTCCTTACTTCTACCCATCAGCGTTTTCTAAATTGTCGATATCTGAGCTTCATTCTTTTATCAGATGAGAAACTATTTGAATAAAGAAACCAGAAACATAAATGCAGGGCTCACGTGAGATCGTTTTCTTTTTAATTTACACCAAAAACTGCTCATCTCTATGGGGTGCAGTGTGATATGTCAACCCGGGAGTACAATGTCTACCGACGGATCGAATCAGCCCAGCTGGCATTTCCATCTCCTTCCTTCCCTCGCGTCTGGAGACTTGGAGCTCCTCGCTTGCAGTTCTTCATAAAATATACCACAGCTCATTGCAGACCGCAGCACCCTCCTGCGCTACACAGCAGAGAACTTTCTCCGCCTGTCTGTCCGGTCTCAGTCGCCTAATCTCCCTCGAGCCTCCCTCTCCCCTCCCTGGCCTCTACTCATTACCATTCTGCTTCCGTCTGTTTTATAAGTGGCCCATTTAATGCAGGCCAACACCCAAAACTGAAAGCAAACACACCTCTGGGGACCACACCCTCGCGGGGGCGCAGGCTGACGCTGAGGGCCCTGCTGGTCCGTGCCATCAGAAAGCTCCCTGCCCGGACCAACACGACGAAGGCTCTGCTTCAGAACAAAGTTGTTCTGCTTTCCCTAAGAGAGGGGTTCCGGGGCCGTCCAGTTCACGCGCGCTGTGCTGCTCCAAGTGGAGACGCTGGCCCTGTCTGACCACGCTCCTGCCCAGTCTGACATGTGGATAAGGAGGGTGGGTTCTGGAAGGTATAAACCTGTTCTTTCCAGAGTTTCACCCTTGGCACCCAGGCATCTTAAACAGGTGATCTTTGCCAAGCTGAAGTGAGGCAACATTTTTTAAAGATTTATTTATTTATTTATTTGAAAGGCAGAGTTACAGAGAGAGGTAAGAGACAGAAGGAAAGATCTTCCGTCCACTGGTTCACTCCCCAAATGGCTGCAGTGGCCAGAGCTAGGCTAATCCGAAGCCAGGAACCAGGCGCTTCTTCCTGGTCTCCCATGTGGATGCAGGGACCCAAGGACTTGGGCCATCTTCTACTGCTTTCCGAGGCCATAGCAGAGAACTGGATCAGAAGTGGAGCAGCCGGAACTCAAACCGGTGCCCATATGGGATGCTGGTGCCACAAGCGGAAGCTTAGCCTACTACACCACAGCACCAGCCCCTATGCAGCATTTTACAAAATCAGCCTTACAAGATTATCTTTTTAATGTATACCTCCTCTTCATTCACATTCCTAATAAATAGTAATTAGGCATCTATCTGTGCCCGGTGCTGTTCTAGGAACAGGAGACTTGGTCCCTAGCTTCAGCTTGCTGGGAGGAGAGACACTGAATAAAGGTGTAGAGTGTTCTAGAAGAGGGAGCAATGGGTGCACTGAGAGGGTGTGGCACAGGGGAATCAGCAGCAGATGTAGCCAAGGGTCTCAGCCTTCCTGAGGAACCCAAGTTCAAACCCATACCTGGAAGGCAAGCAGGGGCTGGTCATGCGAGCAGAGGGGAGGAGGTGCCGCTGCTCAGAACCCACGGCTAGAGTCTGAGTCATTCAACAAACTGAAGACGCCCAAGAGTTTCAGAGACTATGGCTGAAGGAACAGCGCAGAAGCTGGCAGAGTTAGACTGTGAAGGGCTACTGAAGACTGGTCAAGGAGCTGAGGCTGGGGCCGGCGCTGTGGCAGAGCAGGTAAAGCCTCCGTCTGCAGTCCCCACATCCCATATGGGCACCAGTTTGAGTCCCGGCTGCTCCACTTCCAATCCAGCTCCCTGCTAATCCATCTAGGAAAGCAGCAGAAGATGGCCCTTACAA